TTTACCTGGGATGCTCCCTGAGTTAAAGCTCCTGGGAGTCACTCTTTCTCTCAGTTTTCTGGGGTTGGGTACAGAGCTGCCACCTGTGACCTGCTCTATGCTCAGGCCCAGACCAGAAGTCCTCTCCTGAAGTTCTTTTATTGTTCAAAAATTTTTTGGTAATTCTGGGATTTTTATTTTTCCATATAAATTTGAGGCTTGCTTTTTCAAGGTCTATAAAAATTGTGTGGGAATTTTGATGAAGATTGCATTGAATCTGTAGATTGTTTTTGGTAAAATGTCCATTTTTCACTACATTAATCTTTTCTATCCCTGAGCATAGAATATCTTTCAATCTTTTGATACCTTTTTCTTTTCTACTCTTTTCTTTTATTGGATGTTTTATTTACATTTCATATGTTGTCCCCTTACCCCATCCCCCACCCACCCAACAACCCCCTATCCCTTCATCCCTCCTCCTGCTTCTCTGTGGATTTACCCCTACCTACCCCTCCACTCCCACCTCCCCACTCTCAAATTCCCACCCGCTGGGGCGTCCAGCCTTCATGAGGACAAGGATCTCTTCTCCCACCTATGCCCATCAGGGCCCTCCACTCTTACGTATACAGCTGAAGCCATGGATCCCTCCCTAAGTGCTTCCAGGCTGGTTGTTTAGACCCTGGGAGCTGTAGTTGGTGGGCATTGTTGCTCTCCTCATGGGGCCACAAACCCTTTCAGCTCCAATGGTCTTCACTCTAACTCCTCCATTGGGAACCCCATGATCAGTTCAATGGCTAGTTGTGAGCATCTGCCTCTGAATATGTCAGACTCTTGAAGACCTCTGAGGAGACATCTATATCAGGCTCTTATCAGCATGCACTTCCTGACTTCCATATCAGCATCTACCTTTGGTGACTGCACATAGGATGGATACTCAGGTGGAATGGTCTTCAGACGGCCCCTCCTTCAGTTTCTGTCCCTCACTTTGTCTCCATATTTGCTCCCTTGAGTATTTTGTTGCTCCTTCTAAGAAGGACCAAAACACCCCTCACTTGGTCTTCCTTCTTCATGAGCTTCATGTGGCCTGTGAGTTGAATCTTGGGCATTTCAAGGTTCTGGGCTAATATACAAAAACCAGTGAGTGAATAACATGTGTGTTCTTTTGTGAATGGCTTACCTCACTCAGGATGATAATTTCTAGTTCCATCCATTTACCAAGGAAATTCTCGAATTCATTGTTTTTAATATCGGAGTAATAGTCCATTGTGTAAATGTACCACATTTTTTGAATCCATTCCTCAGTTGAAGGACATCTGGGTTCTTTCCAGCTCCTGGCTATTATAAATAAGGCTGCTATGAAAATAGTTGAGCATATGTCCTTGTTATATGTTCGAGCATCTTCTGGGTATATGCCTAGGAGTGGTATAGCAGGATCCTCGGGTAATGCTATGTCCAATTTTCTGAGGAACCACCAGACTGATTTCCAAAGTGGTTGCACCATCTTTCAGTCCCACCAACAATGGAGGACTATTCCTCTTTCTCCACACCCTCGCCAGCATCTTCTATCACCTGAGTTTTTAATCTTAGCCATTCTGACTGGTGTGAGATGGAATCTCAAGGTTTTTTTGATTTGCATTTCCCTGACTACTAAGGATACTGAACATTTCTTTACGTGCTTCTTGCCATTCGAGTTTCCTCAGTTGAAAATTCTTTGTTAAGTTCTATACCCCATTTTTTAATAGGGTAATTTGGTTGTCTGGAGTCTAATTTCTTGAGTTCTTTATATATATTGGATATTAGCCCTCTATCAGATGTAGGATTGGTAAAGATCTTTTCCCAATTTGTTGGTTGTCATTTTGTCCTATTGACAGTGTCCTTTGCCTTACAGAAACTTTGCAATTTTATGAAGTCGCATTTGTCAATTCTTGATCTTAGTGCATATGCCATTGGTGTTCTGTTCAGGAACTTTTCCCCTGTGCCCAAGTCTTCGAGGCTCTTCCCCACCTTCTCCTCTATTAGTTTCAGTGTATCTGGTTTTATGTGGAGGTCCTTTATCCACTTAGACTTGAGCTTTGTACAAGGAGATAAGAATGGCTCAATTTTCATTCTTCTACACGTCCTCCAGTTGAACCAGCAACATTTGTTGAAATTGCTGTCCTTTTTCCACTGGACAGTTTTAGCTCCTTTGAGAATATTGAGAATAGTTCTCGATATCCTACGTCTTTTGTTATTCCAAATGAATTTGAGAATTTCTCTTTCTAACTGTGAAGAATTGAGTTGGGATTTTAATGGGAATTACATTGAATCTGTAGATTGCTTTTGGCAAGATGGACATTTTTATTATATTAATCCTGTCAATCCATGAGCATGGGAGCTCTTTCCATCTTCTGAGATCTTCAAGTTTTTGTTCAGGGACTTGAAGTTCTTGTCATACAGGTCTTTCACTTGTTTGATTAGATTCACACCAAGGTATTTTATATTATTTGCGACTATTGTGAAGGGTGTCATTTCCCTAATTTCTTTTTCAGCCTGTTTATCTTTCATGTAGAGGAAGGCTACTGATTTGTTTGAGTGATTTTATAACCAGCTGCTTTGCTGAAGTTGTTTATCAGGTTTAGGAGTTCTCTGGTGAAAGTTTTGGGGTCACTTAAGTATACTATCATATCATCTGGAAATAGTGATATTTTGACTTCTTCCTTTCCTATTTGTATCCCTTTGACTTCTTTTTGTTGTCTAATTGCTCTGGCTAGGACTTCCAGTACTATATTGAATAGTTAGGGGGAGAGTGGGCAGCCTTGTCTAGTCACTGATCTTAGTGGGATTGCTTCAAGTTTCTCTCCATTTAGTTTGGTGTTGCCTACTGGTTTGCTGTATATTGCTTTTTCTATGTTTAGGTATGGTCCTTGAATTCATGATCTTTCCAAGACTTTTATCATGAAGGGATGTTGAATTTTGTCAAATGCTTTCTCAGCATCTAGTGAGATGATCTTGTGGTTTTTTTCCTTTGAGTTTGTTTATATAGTGGATTACATTGATTAATTTCCAAATATTGAACCATCCCTGCATTCCTGGGATAAAACCTACTTGTTCATGATGGATGATTGTTTTGATGTATTCCTGGATTTTGTTTGGTCTATTTTGAAGAAGGTACCATGAGGTGCTGAGAAAAAGGTATATTCTTTTGTTTTAGGATGAAATGTTCTACAGATGTCTGTTAAGTCCATTTGGTTCATAACTTCTGTTAATTTCAGAGTGTCTCGGTTTAGTTTCTGTTTCCATGATAGGTCCATTGCTGAGAGTGGGGTATTGAAATCCCCCACTATTATTGTGTGAGGTGTAATGTGTGTTTTGAGCTTTAGTAAAGTTTCTTTTATGTATGTAGGTGCCCTTGCATTTGGAACATAGATGTTCAGAATTGAGAGTTCACCTTGGTAGATTTTTCCTTTGATGAGTATGAAGTGTCCTTCCTTATCTTTTTTGATTATTTTTGGATGAAAGTCGATTTTATTTGATATTAGAATGGCTACTCCAGCTTGTTTCTTGGGACCATTGGCTTGGAAAATTGTTTTCCATCCTTTTATTCTGAGGTAGTGTCTGTCTTTGTCACTGAGGTGCGTTTCTTGTATGCAGCAAAATTCTGGGTCCTGTTTGTGTATCCAGTCTGATAGACTGAGTCTTTTTATTGGGGAATTGAGTCCATTGATGTTAAGAGATATTAAGGAAAAATGATTGTGGCTTCCTGTTATTTTTGTTATTAGAGGTAGAATTATGTTTGTATAGCTATCTTCTTTTGTGGTTGTTGGAAGATTACTTCCATGCTTTTTCTAGGTTGTAGTTTCCATCCTTGTGTTGGAGTTTTGTATCAATTATTCTTTGCGGTGCTGGGTTTGTGGGAAGATATTGTGCAAATTTGGTTTTGTCATGGAATATCTTGGTTTGACCGTCTGTAGTGATTGAGAGTTTTGCTGGGTATAGTAATCTGGGCTGGCAATGTGTTCTCTTAGGGTCTGTATGATGTCAGACCAGGCTCTCCTGGCTTTTATAGTCTCTGGTGAGAAGTCTGGTGTAATTCTTATAGGTCTGCCTTCATTTGTTACTTGACCTTTTTCCCTTACTGCTTTTAGTATTTTTTCTTTGTTTTGTGCATCTGATGTTTTGATTTTTACGTGACAGGAGGTATTTCTTTTCTGGCCTAGTCTATTTGGTGTTCTGCAGGCTTCTTGTATGTTTATGGGCATCTCGTTCTTTAGGTTAGGGAAGTTTTCCTCAATAATTTTGTTGAAGATATTTACTGGCCCTTAAAGTTGGGAATCTTCATTCTCATCTATACCTATTATCCTTAGGTTTGGTCTTCTCCCTGTGTCCTGAATTTCCTGGATGTTTTGGGTTAGTAGTGTGGTGTATATCCTGAGTGATGTGTGTGAGTGGTGCTGCTGTTATTCTGTTATCTTGTACTCACTGAGAGGTGAAAAGTAACCTTTGCCCACAAAGGCTTTGAAGAATGTTTAGTTGTAAAAGGTGTGTTTATGAACTGAGCTAATTACATGGCTTAACTGATGATTAATCAACTCTAATGTTACTATAGCACACTAAAGCAATTATCCTAATCACTGGGAAGCTTTATTGGGCAAGCATTACTTTATATACAAGTATATGATTTGCCTCCAATGCCATAAATTCCCAGTGATCATGAGTCTAATAATGCAGAAGTTTGAACAATCTTTGCATCAAGTGATTTGATTCTTAAACCCTCCATTTAGATTGCAGGTTGAAACTACTTGAGATTTTTTTTTAGTACATTGGTCCCACCCTGGGCTAGTTACAACAGGTTTCAGGGTGGAGCAGTTGAGATTAAGAGTGAAGAACACCTTCCATTTGTGTATTTCAACAGGCCACAGTCCACATAGAAGAAAGATTAAACCACACCTAGTTGATTGGTCTTTTATGTACCAGAGAAAGTGTTGAGTTTACAGCTAGTATTATAAAAGACCTGGGTTGCAAGCTCACAGGTGTCTTCATGAGAAGAGAAAGCTGCAATGGATCCAGTCCTGGTCCTGGTGCTTACTCTCTCCTGTCTGCTTCTCCTCTCACTCTGGAGACAGAGCTCTGGGAGAGGGAAGCTCCCTCCTGGCCCTACTCCTCTCCCCATTATTGGAAACATCCTTCAGATAGATGTAAAGGACATCAACAAATCCATTTAAAAAGTAAGTGTTTTTAAAATGTCTTCACTATGTTAAAAAAGAAAATTAATCACTGCTATTATTTAACTGTTTAATTGTAATGCAAATATTCCCATAGGTTCTTATATTTAGAGTTCCATCGTCAGAAAGAGTGGAATTGTATAATGCATATAAACTCTTTCTCTGAGCTTGTGTGTTTGAGTGTGTGTGTGTGTGTGTGTGTGTGTGTGTATATGGGCACGCGCACATGCGCGTGCGCGAATAGGTATTTGCTTGTGTGGGTAAGGGATGCCAGATATTGAATTTGAGTGTCTGCTTCAGTTGCTTCTCTATCTTTTGCCATGTATTCTATTTTATTAACACACACTTGCAAGGTAATATGTTGTGTAGGTCTACACATTTATATGATACAGGGCCTCAGTTGTCACTAAAGAAGTTTCTTTGTCAAATAGATAGTGATTATCACAGAAATTCACAACTGGTTAAAATGCAGAGAATATGAGACTGCAGGGTGCTTTGCCACAAATGTGACATCTATATCATGTGTGATTATTCACTGGGACACAGCCTTAAAGAAAATTAACTCTTCTTTTTAAAATTTTATGTTATTTTTATTGGATATTTTATTTATTTACAATACAGATGTCATCCTCTTTCCCTATTTCCCCTCCCTAGAACTCCCTACCCTACTCCCTCCTCCTTTATGCTTTTATACCATTTTGATTACGTGCATTTATTAAGGTCAGTTTTAGTTTGAGGGTCTAGCAATCAATAGACACAACTCTCTCCCCTGTCAGTTATCAGTTGCCAATAGCTCCTTGGCTAGGTGTGGGACTTCAGGATCATCTTCATGCTTGGAGTTTGTCTAGCTAGAGATTGGACATTTCTTGTGCATGCTGCCACAACTGCTCTCATTTAATATGTGCGACTAACTTACTATGTCTGAAGAGCACTGTTTCCCTCTCATTATTCGTAATGTTTGGGTTTTAGAATCTTTCTATAAGGGTCCCCTAACTTTGGAAGGAGGCAAGTGTGATTCAAACTTCCAGTTTAGGGATGAGTACTCTGTACTGTCTTATCCTCTTCACTTTAACCAGCTGTGGGTCTCTATGTTAATCACCTTCTATTGAAAAAAGGAATTTTGCTGATGTGTGTTGACAGATGCATTGACTTAGGGTTATAAAGATTAGTTTTAGGAGCCAACTGAATTCTATATCCATCTTTCATAATAATAGTTGTATGTCTTCCTTGCAAATATGTCCTGTAGAGCTACCGATTCTTGCTGAGTATGGTGTTTGAATATGCTTAACCCTTGGGAAGTGGCACTATTAGAAGGTGTGGCCTTATTGGAAGAGGTGTAGCCTTGTTAGAGGAAATGTGTCACTCTGAAGGTTGGTTTGGGGTGTCCTATGCTAAGCTCTGCTCAGTGTGGAAGAGTCTCCTCCTGGATTCCTGTAAAAGACAGTCTCTTCCTGGCTGCTTTCAGATTAAGATGTAGAACTCCCAGTTCCTTCTGCAACATCCTGCCTTCCTGCCAGCTGCCATGCTTTCTTCCATGATGATAACAAACTGAACCTCTGAAACTATAAGCCAGCCCCAATTAAATGTCCTTATAAGAGTTGCCTTGATCATTATGTCTCTTCACAGGAATACAACACAAACTAACACACTGAAATAACAGTACAAGCCATGAGTTTTAGATTCTAGATTCAAGCACGAAGTGTTTGGTTATTCTCATGATGTTTGTGCCACTATTGCTCCATTGGATATGTCTTCTAAGATTGACTTGCAGTATTTCATGGAGAGGTCCCAGTGGGATAAGAATGATGATTTCTTTTCTCCTTCAAAATTGTAAATAGCCCCTTCCAACACTACAGAAGCCATTGTTTATAATGAAATAAGTCAACATTGTTTGTCACCTAGAAAAGCAAAGAACTCATTTTGTGATCTATCTACTAGAAATACTTAAGATCAATTTGATTACTTGGAAACATAAAATAAGATCAAATCAATAGGTATTTTTCTAAACATTGGGATATTCTTTTAGTGAATGTCAAAGTCATAGAATTATGGAAAGATTAGTATGACTGATGGTATATGACAAACTTTGTAACATGATGATGAATTCTGAACCTAGTATCAGTGGGGCATGATAAATATCCTTGAGGGTTACTGGTAGAACAGCATTGAGAATGAGGAATTACCAATATTATTTCTTTTCCATTCTGACTTGAGAAAAGGTACACTGGAATGTAACTGTGAATGTGAAATGACTATCTATTTGAATTTCCTTCCTTAACTTACCCACTAGCATGGATTGCAAGCTGGGCTCTAAGCTAAAATAAATATTGTCTCTCCTAAGAATGATTTGGACAGGGTACATATATATATCTCTCTCTCTGTGTGTGTGTGTGTGTGTGTGTGTAAAATCACAGCAGTAGAACTGAAAATAGAGTTGCTAATAAGATTTTATTTTTTACATTCATTCCTCTGAGACCTAGTAAAAGCTGTAAGTTTAAGTCAAAAGGTATGGAACATTCTTTTATTTGGTCCAGAGAGCTAGAAATACAGATTGAACAGAAGTGTTTTTAGCATGAGGAGAACCTCCTTTAAGTCTATATTTAGAAGACAGCCAAAGGGAATTTAAAATCTAGAGCTTTTGACAAAATTGTAAGCAGCCAATCCACCATTAGCTTTTCAAAACTTTGTTGATCAGTGTTAAAACTGTGAACTTTGCAATCTTAGTATAACAGTGGCATGGAAAGTGAGGAGAAATATGAAACTCTTTTATTTCTTTATGTTTGAAATTATTTTCTTATACCTATACAACTTGCATTTGTATACCTTAAATATCTTCTTAGATTCTTCAATCTTTTTTCTTTTAATTAATTGGAATTTTCCTAGTACTGAATATTTTCTTTATTTATATTTCAAATATTTTTTCTTTTCCAGGTCTCCCCCCTTGAACACCTCCCTATCACATACCTCCTCCCCCTGCCTCTGTATGGTTCTTCCCCACCCATCCAACCACTCCCACCTTCCAGCCCTGGCATTCCACTACACTGGGGCATCAAACTCCCTCAGGCCCAATGGCCTCTCCTCCCACTGATGTCGAATAAGGCCATCCTCTGCCACATATGTGGCCAGAGCCATCCCTCCATGTGTACTATTTAGTTGGTGGTTCAGTTCCCAGAAGCTCCAGGGGTCTGGTCAGTTGACACTGTTACTCCTTCCCATGAGGCTGCAAACCTCCTCAGATACTTCAGTCCCTTCTCCAAATCCTCCATCAGGGATCCTGCACTCAGTCCAATGGTTGGCTGTGAACATCTGCCTCTGTATTTGTCAGGCTCTGGTAGATCCTTTCAGGAGATAGCCATATCAGGCTCCTGTCAGCAAGCACTTCCAGGTACCACATTTTCTGTATCCATTCCTACGATAGCATCCAGGTTTGACTATTGCATATATGATTGATCCCCAGGTGAGGCAGTCTCTAGATGGCATTTCCTTCAGTCTCTGCTTCACACTTTGTTTCCATATTTCCTCCTGTGAACATTTTGTTTCCCCTTGAAAGAAGCACTGAAGCATCCACACTTTACCCTTTTTACTTCTTCAACTTCTTGAGTATTGTGAACTTTTCAGCAAATAGTCACTTAACAGTGAGTACATATTGTGTGTATTCTTTCATGACTATGTTACCTCACTCAGGATGATATTTTCTAGGTCCATCCATTTGCATAAGAATTTCATGAATTCATTGCTTTTATTTTTCATTTTTTTTAATTTAAATTTTTTTAAAAAAATTTTATTGGATATTTTATTTATTTATATTTCACATGCCATCCCCTTTCCACATTTCCCCTTTCTAGAACCACCTAGCACACCCCCCCTCCTCCTTTTGCTTTTATACTGTTTGAATTACATGCAATTATTCAGATCAGTCCTAGGTTGAGGGTCTGGCAATACAATAGGTGCGAATACTCAGGAACAAGCAAGACAATAAACACAAATAGTCAAAAAACAAGCAAGGCAATAAACAAAATTCCATGAACACTCCCATGATCAGTGTTTCTCAGGGCTTATCAGGATGACCAAAATATCTGAGCCAACTTCCCAGTACTAGCTCAAAGTCATTTACATGCCTGAAGCCCATTTCCTTGTTCTAGTCTAATATTTAGATTCCTACCTGAAATTACTTCTTTGTTCTTGCCTAATGGTAGATTTCTGCCTGAAGCTTACTTCCTTGTCCTTGGCCAATGTCATATTTCTGCAAAGCAGCCTATTTACTTATGGCCCATGTAGGATTCTTGTCAAGCAGCCCCTAAGGCTCTCAGCCTCTCCCCATTTTTAATTTCATTAACAAGACTGAGCCTGTCTTAGGTCATTCTGATGAGAATACTTTCCTTACTCATCATGGAATATGCATTATCAAATCAATGCACTTATGTCTTAGGTTGGTAAGGCTCTGTGAAGGAATTCATTGTTTTTAATAGCTGGGTAGTATTCCACTGTGTAAATGTACCACAATTTTTGTATCCATTCCTCTGTTGAGGACCTCTGGTTACTTTCAGCTTCTGACTATTATAAATATGGCTGCTATGAACATAGTGGAACACCTGTCCTTATTACATGCTGGAGCATCTTCTGGGTATAAGCCAAGGAGTGGTATAGCTGGGTCCTCAGGTAATACTATGTCCAATTTTCTGAGGAACTGCCAGACTGATTTCCAGAGTGGTTGTACCAACTTGCAATGCCACCAGCAATGGAGGAGTGTTCCTTTTTCTCCACATCCTTGCCAGCATCTGCTGTCATCTGAGTTTTTGATCTTAGCCATTCTGACTGGTGTGAGGTGGAATCTCAGGTTCATTTTGATTTGCATTTCCCTGATGACTAAGAATGCTGAACATTTCATTAGGTACTTCTTGGCCATTAGAGTTTTCTTAGTTCATAACTGTCTGTTTAGCTCTGTTCTCCATTTTTAAATGGGTTATTTGGTTCTCTGGAGTCGAATCTCTTGAGTTCTTTGT